GAATCTGGAAGCATCTTGTTAAATTCCTGAATGAAATAAAAGTGGGGAGGATATTATTCTTTATGTTTTGCTTGTTTCTCCAGGTTTAAATTGGATTTGTCGTTAAATGGGTCCAGGTGATAAAAATTGACTCATTTGTTGACTGATTTGTTTTGGCCTCTGCTGCTTTTGCAGATAAACACTTTGAACCAGATATGCAATTCTAATGGCTTTTTAATGTCTTTCTAATTTGCACTTTAAAGCGTTCTAATGGACTGCTGTTGTGTTTGCACAGAGGAGAGAAACGGAGGATCTGACTCACTTAGTGAATCGTTCTGTTCAGTTCAGCCAAGATTTTAACTCTCCAGGTTTTTTACAGAAAATCATGCAGGTGCCTGCAGGAAGGGCCGGGTTTCACCTGATGAGCCGATGTTTGGCTTCACGGCTGGTTAACACATTCGGCCACTTTTCATGTTGGGAAGGATGGTAATGATCTGGAATGAATTTACTACAGACTGGATCTGGTTCTAACACTTTCCACTCCTTCAGAACTGATTAAGGGTAAATATCGCAGCAATTACTCTGTAAAAACATCATAACAGTCATGCTAAGCTAACCAGTTGCTTCTGAAAAGCATCATGGAGAATCAAGTGAAAGTGGAACTGATGGCTTGCCGTACTTTTTACTGGCACTGACACATTAAAGTATTGACTTTGATCAATTAACATGTTAAAAATGTTAATGCAATTATACCTTTTCTGGCTCCGCCTCCATTGATGTACCCAGATGAAGTCACACGACTGCGTTTGTGAGACGGGAACTATTTAAACAGTTAGACGTCTTCAGATCTATTCTATTCTAATGCTATTCTATTCTATTCTATTCTATTCTGAATATTCAATTAAAATTCACTTTATGACTTTTAATGAAAGTGAATAAACATCCTCATTAAAGGCTCCCTAAAATATTTAGACAGTTCTCCTGTTGGATCTCAGTTTTACTGCCGTTGTGTAAATAAGCAGCTTGTCGACGCCATTATTGGCATCATGCAAAGATCTGCCAAGATGTTGCAGATGACGGGACGTTGGCCTCTGACTCAGTCAGATGATGAAACCGTCGTGTAACAGAAGAAGGAAACATATGGAGGTTAATAAGCTGAGAGCCGCCCTGCTACAGTAAAGATTAAACTCACATCCTCTGTGTGTGTGTGTGTGTGTGTGTGTGTGTGTGTGTGTGTGTGTGTGTGTGTGTGTGTGTTTAAGGTAGAGCGATGTGGGACAGAGAGTGTGTGTCATCATTAACGGTGCATTTAACCTGACTGCATTCCTCTCCTGTTACAGTGAAACATTATTTGCAGGTTAACAGCTGTAATCATGGGGCGAGTGTGTGTGCGCGCGTGTTTTGTGTGTGTGTGAGAGTGAGAGGGGAAAGGTGTGAGCAGAGGTTGATTGCGAAGCCATTTCCCAGGGCTTAGTGGAGCTATGTTAGCTGAAGAGCTCAATTTCAAAGACAATTTCTCCACTGCTGAGCACTTTGGCAAAGAGTAGCTGTATGGAGAAGGAATTATGCAGCTTGGTGTGTGTGTGTGTGTGTGTGTGTGTGTGTGTGTGTGTGTGTGTGTGTGTGTGTGTGTGTGTGTGTGTGTGTGTGTGTGTGTGTGTATGCGCATTTGTTTCTAATACCTTCTGGGGACCATTTTCCTGACACTTGCTACGTTGTGGGGACCAAAGTCTGGTCCACTGGGGGAACCCTGAGTGTTTGTGATGCTAGCTCAGAGCTTTTTTAATCAGCGTGTAATAGCGTCATCAGAGCTAAACTAGCAGCCATCAGAGCTACAGCTAGCAGCCATCAGGGCTAAAGCTAGCAGCTATCAGGGCTAAAACTAGCAGCCATCAGAGCTAAAGCTAGCAGCCATCAGAGCTAAAGCTAGCAGCCATCAGAGCTAAACTAGCAGCCATCAGAGCTAAAGCTAGCAGCCATCAGAGCTAAACTAGGAGCCATCAGAGCTACAGCTAGCAGCCATCAGGGCTAAAGCTAGCAGCCATCAGAGCTACAGCTAGCAGCCATCAGGGCTGAAACTAGCCACCATCACAGCTAAAGATAGCAGCCATCAGAGCTAAAGCTAGCAGCCATCAGAGCTAAACTAGCAGCCATCAGAGCTAAAGCTAGCAGCCATCAGAACTAAACTAGCAGCCATCAGGGCTAAAGCTAGCAGCCATCAGAGCTAACCTAGGAGCAATCAGAGCTAAACTAGCAGCCATCAGAGCTAAACTAGCAGCCATCAGAGCTAAAGCTAGCAGCCATCAGAGCTAAAGCTAGCAGCCATCAGAGCTAAAGCTAGCAGCCATCAGAGCTAAAGCTAGCAGCCATCAGAGCTAAACTAGCAGCCATCAGGGCTAAAGCTAGCAGCCATCAGAGCTAACCTAGGAGCAATCAGAGCTAAACTAGCAGCCATCAGAGCTAAACTAGCAGCCATCAGAGCTAAAGCTAGCAGCCATCAGAGCTAAAGCTAGCAGCCATCAGAGCTAAAGCTAGCAGCCATCAGGGATAAAGCTTGCAGCCATCAGAGCTAAACTAGCAGCCATCAGGGCTAAAGCTAGCAGTCATCAGAGCTAAACTAGCAGCCATCAGAGCTAAAGCTAGCAGCCATCAGAGCTAAAGCTATCAGCCATCAGGGCTAAAGCTAGCAGTTATCAGAGCTAAACTAGCAGCCATCAGAGCTAAAGCTAGCAGCCATCAGGGCTAAAGCTAGCAGCCATCAGAGCTAAACTAGCAGCCATCAGAGCTAAAGCTAGCAGCCATCAGAGCTAAACTGGCAGCCATCAGAGCTAAAGCTAGCAGCCATCAGGGCTAAAGCTAGCAGCTATCAGGGCTAAAACTAGCAGCCATCAGAGCTAAAGCTAGCAGCCATCAGAGCTAAAGCTAGCAGCCATCAGAGCTAAACTAGCAGCCATCAGAGCTACAGCTAGCAGCCATCAGGGCTAAAGCTAGCAGCTATCAGGGCTAAAACTAGCAGCCATCAGAGCTAAAGCTAGCAGCCATCAGAGCTAAAGCTAGCAGCCATCAGAGCTAAACTAGCAGCCATCAGAGCTAAAGCTAGCAGCCATCAGAGCTAAACTAGGAGCCATCAGAGCTACAGCTAGCAGCCATCAGGGCTAAAGCTAGCAGCCATCAGAGCTACAGCTAGCAGCCATCAGGGCTGAAACTAGCCACCATCACAGCTAAAGATAGCAGCCATCAGAGCTAAAGCTAGCAGCCATCAGAGCTAAACTAGCAGCCATCAGAGCTAAAGCTAGCAGCCATCAGAGCTAAACTAGCAGCCATCAGGGCTAAAGCTAGCAGCCATCAGAGCTAACCTAGGAGCAATCAGAGCTAAACTAGCAGCCATCAGAGCTAAACTAGCAGCCATCAGAGCTAAAGCTAGCAGCCATCAGAGCTAAAGCTAGCAGCCATCAGAGCTAAAGCTAGCAGCCATCAGGGATAAAGCTTGCAGCCATCAGAGCTAAACTAGCAGCCATCAGGGCTAAAGCTAGCAGTCATCAGAGCTAAACTAGCAGCCATCAGAGCTAAAGCTAGCAGCCATCAGAGCTAAAGCTATCAGCCATCAGGGCTAAAGCTAGCAGTTATCAGAGCTAAACTAGCAGCCATCAGAGCTAAAGCTAGCAGCCATCAGGGCTAAAGCTAGCAGCCATCAGAGCTAAACTAGCAGCCATCAGAGCTAAAGCTAGCAGCCATCAGAGCTAAACTGGCAGCCATCAGAGCTAAAGCTAGCAGCCATCAGGGCTAAAGCTAGCAGCTATCAGGGCTAAAACTAGCAGCCATCAGAGCTAAAGCTAGCAGCCATCAGAGCTAAAGCTAGCAGCCATCAGAGCTAAACTAGCAGCCATCAGAGCTACAGCTAGCAGCCATCAGGGCTAAAGCTAGCAGCTATCAGGGCTAAAACTAGCAGCCATCAGAGCTAAAGCTAGCAGCCATCAGAGCTAAAGCTAGCAGCCATCAGAGCTAAACTAGCAGCCATCAGAGCTAAAGCTAGCAGCCATCAGAGCTAAACTAGGAGCCATCAGAGCTACAGCTAGCAGCCATCAGGGCTAAAGCTAGCAGCCATCAGAGCTACAGCTAGCAGCCATCAGGGCTAAAACTAGCCACCATCACAGCTAAAGATAGCAGCCATCAGAGCTAAAGCTAGCAGCCATCAGAGCTAAACTAGCAGCCATCAGAGCTAAAGCTAGCAGCCATCAGAGCTAAACTAGCAGCCATCAGAGCTAAAGCTAGCAGCTAGCTAGCTAAAGCTAGCAGCCATCAGGGCTAAAGCTAGCAGCCATCAGAGCTAAAGCTAGCAGCCATCAGGGCTAAAGCTAGCAGCCATCAGAGCTAAACTAGCTGCTATCACAGCTAAAGCTAGCCTTAGCATTTGTCCAGGATGTTTGACATTATGTTGTTGAAACATTTTCAGCAAACCTTCCACCAGTTTCCTTCTTCCTTGTTCATCTGGAATATGCTGAATGTTTCTTGTTTTGATTTGTCGTGTCTGAAAAACTGTTTGGAAATAAAACCATCTGAGAGCGTTTATCATCTCAGACCCAAAGCTGCAGTTAGCTGATGTATAATTAAGCATAAAAATCTTATAAAAGTGTTTTTTCTTGTAATGCATTGGTTATCAGAGCTTTACTTATGCTCTGGTTTTTATTATGGCCTTGTTTACTTGACAGAAACTTATTTACACCTGCTCAGTTTTAATTATATGAAGTAAACAATTCGAGGATTAATCTATTTTTATTGTTGAACTTTAATTATATATTTATATAAAACAAATGCAGTCGCTTCAGAACCCGTTTTATTTGACTCAACTCTTACTTTTAATTATATTTTTGAAGCAGTTGTAAATTTTCTCTCTCAGACAATTAGGAAATGTTTTCTTGCTTCCGCCGCTGTTTGTGCTTCTGCTCATAAATATGAACTAAAACTGAATGTCTTGCTGCTGTTGTCGTCACATTGTTTCTGTCCTCCTAACCTTTTTGCAGATATGCGGTTCTGAGCGACCCGGCGGCTTGGCTGAGTGTGAACCCGGTCAGAGGAACCGTCAACACCTCGGCCTTTCTGGACCGGGAGTCTCCGTATGTCCAGGCCAATAAATACACGGCTCTGTTCGTCGCCACAGACAACGGTGAGTTCCCTCCTTTCAGCGCGGCGACAGGAAGTGGGGTCTGACGCAAAATAAAAGACAGGAAATGGGTTCTAGTGAGGTGTTGGAATCGGTGTTGTTTGGTTTATTAGCATCTGTGGTGAACATAGTGACCCAGAAACTCACCGTGTCTTTAATACCCGGCTACGAAACAGAAATGTGTGGATATTTTATTATTTCTTCTCAAGGTTTTAAGGCTGTGATAAAGTTTTTTTTATGTGTATCACCCAGTCAGACATTTCTGTTTTTCCTGCAAACTGAACCAGAATGCCAAACCGAGCAAAGCTGTGAAAAAATGTAAACCTCAGCATAAATTTCTGCTGCTTCTGCTTTATTTTCTAAGATCTTTAAGAAACATTTAATTTCAGCTGAGCAAAGACTGAACACCTGAAATGCAGAGGAAGCTTCGGTCACTGTTTGGATCACTGAAGGTTTCATCAGAACTTTAAACTGGATCACAGATCAGTTGAGTTTTTCACGTCTCAATTCTGATCCTGTTGGTTACAAGTAACTTTTCAGCAAGATATTGGATCTGAAGTCAATCATGTCTTAATGTTGACAAGAAAAGCATTTTTATTGCCAAAGGGAACGATGTCTTGTAATCAGCTCCTATATCTTTGCTGAAAAGTTACTTGTAAGTTAATTTTGTCTCATTTTAAGTGTCCCAAAATAATTACACTATAAAATGAACCAAAAATGTTTGGTGAGATTTTGTGATTTTGCAATGTCGTCAACTTTTCACAGGTTGGTTTGGATCAATTCTTTTTCCTCATTTAAAAACTGTTAGTTTGTACTCGGCTTATCTGAGTTTCCACATCACTGCTCACCTGTCTGTCCTCACCTGGCCAGACTGAGGCTGTCATCGTCCTGCAGTGGCGGCGCGGCGCCCGCTGGCGGCGCTGTGTGCCACCAGTATGGCGGCCGGTCGGCGCCGTCTTTCATTTTTAGATTCTCTCTCTCTCATCATCTCTCCCCGCCCCGTCAATCCATCTGCTCTGCTGCTCTCAGGAGATCCTGACAGATCCATTAGAGGAACTGAGGGATTCTATTAGCAGGCAGCAGAATAGCGGCGTTGTGCGCGGGAATTCGGCCGCCGGAGAAAGATGAGTGCTGAAAGAGGAGTAATGATGGGGCCGGAGGAGAAGGCGGGGAGAGGTGGAGGGTCGGCGCAGGCGGAGAAAAGAAGGGACATGAGACGAGATAACAAGAAGAAGATATGGAGCCAGGAGGACGGGGGGAGAGATGGAAGAAAGACAAATGGAAAGTAGATCCAGCAGAGAGTGAGGAGGACGAAGAGGACGGTCTGAAGGTTTCGTTTGCTTTTTTAGACGAAACCTGGTAGATACCCTGAAACTAAGTCCAAATTTATTCAACAAAATCAACACTAACGTCGTCTCAAAGCCCCTTACACAGATCAGTTCATACCCACTAATGCAGTCAGAATGACATTAATGCATTCAGTCACTCATTGCTTAAAGTCAAATCAGCTTTTTTTGTCATTAGTGTCATTTGATTTCATGCTGCGTTCTGCAGATTCGCTCTGATTATTATCAACTTCCCGCTGAAGGCTGGAGGAGAGAAATCCAACATGGCAGCAAAATCCGAGGGATTAGTCAAAGTTTAATGTCTGACAGAAACTTTTAAATGTTCAGACATGTAACAGTTATGTCACTGCTTACGTCACCAGGTGGTGAGTGGCGCATTTAGTACATCTAGGATGTCCAACCTGGATAAATTAAATGAGTATCAGGCGGACGGACAGGTGGACCGGGGGACAGGTGGACGGGGGACAGGCGGACCGGGGACAGGCGGGGGGAACACACACGCTGCGGTGAAGAACTGAGACATGAACCCAACGTGTCCAGAACATCAACCATCAGCATCACAGCAGGAGCTCAAACTTCTCTGTTCTTGTTCTGCATCTTAAAAGCAGCAGCAGCTTTCGCAGCATAAATCCGCCTTCCAGTCCTCCAGCTGCGAGCCGGAGCAGCAGATCGAGTTCTGACCCGGCCCATTTTACTCCTGCAGTTTCTGTCAACGGCCTGAGAAATTGGCTCTGTCCTCACAGTAATCTCTGCTGTGATTGGATGACAGCTTCCCTGTGTAGCTGCTATCAGGGTATTGATTTCCTCTTACACATCATCATCTTTATATTTATGTGGAGTCTGCGGGTTTCCTGCTGAGAGCAGAGCCGTGTCAAACAAGCAGATCTATATGAAACAATCACATGAGAGGGAAAAATAAACTGCAGGAGAACATCTGCAGTTAAAGGAAGTCAAGTAAACACTTTACTCAAAATAATTCCTTCTATTCTGAAAGAAAAGTAAAAATAAAAAAGTTAATTTCTATTTTCATTTTATTACTAGAATATGAGAGTCATAAACCTGACTTGGACCAATTTACTTGCTGCACACCTGGTTATCAAAACAGATTCATAAAATGAGCTGCAAAAAGTAACAGTGAAGTTGTTTCAGCTCATTTTATTGTTTTAAGTCTGAAAATCAATTTCCAGATTCAGTTTAATAACATAATGTGCAGCAAGTAAATTACATTGTTTTTATCTTGTTTTGTCTTCAGAAGTTTATGACTTAAAAAAACAATATTAATATTTGTGTAAAATATTCATATTTTAGATGAAGTAATTAGTTGAACCCAAAGCCCATCGTTTTCTGCTTTGCCTTGTTGTCGTTTGTCAAACTTCTCCTTCAGCTCTGCAGTCTGACTGCAGGCTTCTTCTTCTTCTACTGCTGCTGAACAGCAGCCTGTTGGTCAGTTGGAGCACTGCTGCCCCCTAGTGACTGGAGGCGTGTTTGTTGTTCAGGTTATTGTTGTTGAATCAGTAAAATAAGATTTAAATGACATTTTTTGCTCAGCTTTTGTAGCTTATTTGTTTTGACCTGTCAGCACTTTTAGAAATGTGTGTTTGCTGTCTGTCTGAAAGCCCTTCATCCATCTGTGTTTGCTCGCAGCGTGTACCTCCACCCATCGCTCAGTTAGTGAGCGATAAGCTGAGCTGCAGCAAGACCTGGCCGGCAGCGGAGCCTGTTTGCACGGGTTCTGCTCCGGCCTGAACCCAAAACCCACCAGCTGCTTCTGCAAAGTCTGATCAGCAGCGAAGCTTCAGCACCAAAAGATCGTCTGCTGCTCTGAGTCCCTGCTGGGACAACAGCTGGGCATCCTGGGAATCACTGCTTGTGATGCTGGTGGGGCGCTGTGTGTGTGTGTGTGTGTGTGTGTGTGTGTGTGTGTGTGTGTGTGTGTGTGTGTGTGTGTGTGTGTGTGTGTGTGGATGGATTGAAATTGTTTGCTTATATTGGGTTTTAATATCTTGGTGCCTCTCTGGCCGGCTCCTGTGTTTCCACACACTGCTGGGTGTTTTTGTTCTGTTTTCTCATTTAAATGTTAAACTGCCTTCTGGTGGGAGCCATTTGTCATTTGGAGACATGAATACATTATCAAGACCCCAGTTGTCTGAAAAACACTTTCACATTATCCTGTGCCGGCTGCCACCAAACCTGCTATTAAACCTGTAAAGCCATCAGCAGAGACCTTCGCCTTCGGCTCAGAGGACAGACCTTCAGCTCAGAGGACAGACCTTCGGGAGGACAGACCTTCAGCTCAGAGGACAGACCTTCAGCTCAGAGGACAGACCTTCAGCTCAGAGGACAGACCTTCAGCTCAGAGGACAGACCTTCAGCTCAGAGGACAGACCTTCAGCTCAGAGGACAGACCTTCAGCTCAGAGACAGACCTTCAGCTCAGAGGACAGACCTTCAGCTCAGAGGACAGACCTTCAGCTCAGAGGACAGACCTTCAGCTCTTCAGCTCAGAGGACAGACCTTCAGCTCAGAGGACAGACCTTCAGCTCAGAGGACAGACCTTCAGCTCAGAGGACAGACCTTCAGCTCAGAGGACAGACCTTCAGCTCGCCTCAGGAGTGAAGCGCTGTGTGTTTTTAAGAGCCGTCCTCGTTAATTACTGCAGGAATTAAACAGACATTGAGGCAGGAGGCTGAACACGGTAATAAGCTCCAGGGTTCATCACAGTCGCATCATTTGCTCTGATCCAGAAGCTCAAAGTAAAGCAGCTGGAAGCTGCTGGAGCCCAAACACACAGGAAGAGAGGAGGAAGGTCCTGATGACGGCACATCGCCTCCTGGAGGACGGAGGAGGACCTGCGCCTGGCTGGCCGCGGGGGACCGGTTCTGTTAGTAGGACTGGTTCTGTTAGTCTGCATGACCAGCAGAGAACTGGGTTTCACTGGAAAATGGTGCCAGATGGGGAGGGCAGGATGGGAGGAGCCAGAGGGGCGGGGCCATTTCTGATATTTTGACCCAGACCGGTACCAGAGAAGCAGATCCAGAATAATGTGGACGTGTTGGTCCAGAGTTTTAACGCGGGTTGAAGCAGATGAACTCAGTGCAGTTCTTCCTTCCTCCTCCGTCTCTCCACTGCACCTCATTAACCCCAAACCGTCGCTGTTTCTTCTGACTCCCACACCTCCGCCTCTCTTCCTGGATGACTTTCTTTGCCTTTCATTTCTTGTAGCAGAATCTCTGGGGGAAGTCACCACCTTGTAAACAGGCTCATGTTGCGTTTTTGATTAAAGGATATCTTTGTTCAGCTCCACCAGGGAAGAAATGGCTCCCTCTCCCTCTTTGTTGTTGGCTTTATCAGCTCTCGCCTCTTGTGTGTCCTTGGAATACTGATTCATCCACGGATGAGGAGTCAGCGCTGTGCCTGGCACACCTAAACAAATAAGCCTCTGCCCACTCACCCAGGGAACTTGTGTTAGAGTGGCGCTGCTAGGATACTTGTTACATAAAACACTGCTGCTGCTTGTTGTGAGGAGCTGAATGGGAAACGGCGCCTCGTTCCTCCTCGCCTCACGTTTTCCAGCAAGATCTGGACAAGCTTTTAAAGACGCCGACCCAAATGAGACGAGCTGCCGGGACGGGCTGAAAAATGAAGTCAGATGATGGAG